ATCACAATAAAAAGCTTTTGCACAGCAAAAGAAACAGTCCACAAAACCAAAAGACAACCGACAGAATGGGAGAAAATGTTTGCAAAGGACATATCAGATAAAGAGCTAGTATCCAAAATCTATAAATAACTTATCCAACTCAACACCCAAAGAACAAATAATCCAATCAAGAAATGGGCAGAAGACATGAACAGACATTTTTCCAAAGAAGACATCCAAATGGCCAACAGACACAAGAAAAAGTGCTCAACATCGTTCGGCATCAGGGAAATCCAAATCAAAACCTCAATGAGATACCACCTCACACCAGTCAGAATGGCTAAAATTAACAAGTCAGGAAACGACAGATGTTGGCGGGGATGCGGAGAAAGGGGAACCCTCCTACACTGTTGGTGGGAATGCAAGATGGTGCAACCACTCTGGAAAACAGTATGGAGGTTCCTCAAACAGTTGAAAATAGAGCTACCATACGATCCAGCAACTGCACTACTGGGTATTTACCACAAAGACAGAAATGTAGGGATCCGAAGGGGTACGTGCACCCCAATGTTTATAGCAGCCATGTCCACAATACCGCCAAACTGTGGAAAGGGCCAAGATGTCCATCGACAGATGAATGGATAAAGAAGAGGTGGTATATATACACAATGGAATATTATGCAGCCATCAAAAGGAATGAGATCTTGCCCTTTGCTACGACGTGGATGGAACTGGAGGGTGTTATGCTGAGTTGAAATAAGTCAATCAGAGAAAGACATGTATCATATGACCTCATTGATATGAGGAATTCTTAATCTCAGGAAACAAACTGAGGGTTGCTGGAGTGGTGGGGGGTGGGAGGGATGGGGTGGCTGGGTGATAGACATTGGGTAGGGTATGTGCTATGGTGAGCGCTGTGAATTGTGCAAGACTGTTGAATCACAGATCTGTACTTCTGAAACAAATAATGCAACATATGTTAAGAAAAAAGAAAAAGAAGAAGATAGCAGGGGGGGAAGAATGAAGGGGAGTAAGTCAGAGGGGGAGACGAACCATGAGAGACGATGGACTCTGAAAAACAAACTGAGGGTTCTAGAGGGGAGGAGGGTAGGGGGATGCATTAGCCTGGTGATGGGTATTAAAGAGGGCACATTCTGCATGGAGCACTGGGTGTTATGCACCAACAAGGAATCATGGAACACTACATCAAAAACTAATGATGTAATATATGGTGATTAACATAACAATAAAAAATTAAAAAAAAAAAACAAAAAAACACTGCCCCAGTGAATGCTTCTGTGTTGGGACAAGGCAAGGACCAGCATGAAGCCTGGCTTGACCCTGGTAAATAACAGGACACTAACAACAAGAATTCAAGTAGATTTTGCTTATAACCATTACTCTTTGTACATGCAAAACCGATTGTTTCTTTAACGACTTTTTTTTAATTTTATTTTTTTTTAAGATTTTATTTATTTTATTTGAGAGAAAGAGAGAACACAAGCAGGCGGAGGGGCAGAGGGAGAAGCCAACTCCCCACTGAGTGGAGAGCCTGACATAGGGCTTGATCCCAGGACCCCGGATCATGACCTGAGCCAAAGGTTGACGCTTAACCAACTGAGCCACCCAGGCGCCCCAGAACCTATCATTTTAACAAGAGTCTGACTAGCACAGGAGAGTGAAGAACTGGGCTATGTTCCATGTCAAGGATATAGGTACTAAAATGGACTGTAAAGTTCTCTTGCAATTATAAAATGCCATGTAAATGCTAAATAAAAATAAAACAATTCTCAGATCTATTTAATTTCATGGTGCTAGACAATTCTCCAGTTTTAAACTTTAGTAAGAACACCTTCAGAGATTGAATATAGAGGAAAAAAAGACCTGATATGTTTTAGGCAGTGTTAGTATGGCTAGGTCCCATGTTTAATCCCACTTCAATCTGAGAGAATAATGTGAGCCACTTGGCTTGAGTTTAAGGCGCTTTTCTTGAGAATTACTTCTTGTAAGATTAGTGTGATTTCATGATACACAGCTGTGTTTCTGTTTGTTTCAAGCACACCAGCCATAGGAAACAAGGAACAGCACGTTAGATGGAAAGAAAGGCAATCAATACTAACAGAGAGTGTGGCTGTTATTAACTGCATACTAAGATGTTAGTTGGATTGAGTTTAGCATGTTATGTTTTTGGTTCAGTGCTTTCTGAGAGGCTGGGCAGTGGGAAGGCTGGGAAGGGAATCAACGTGTTTTCTGAGCTTCAGTTTCCGCTGGGTATACTATGAAAGATAACTGCATAGTCACTTCACAGGAGAGTCTTAAAGAACTCAGACTACCTTCAATTTTTTAAAACTCCAGGTATGGACATGGACATGCACACACACATACCTGATTAACTACATCTTTTAATTTCCCTAAAGTCTAGCATAAATATAAGAAATCTACAGACAAAAATCCTACTTTGTGCAATAAATGTTTTTGAAAAGTATGACTGAAAAAAAATATGTTTGCAAACTGGATCATATCAAACACACTGGGATGCCTCACTATTTAAGAGACTACTTTCAGTTAAACAAACTAAAGATTGTTTGTTATTAAAAACAGTCTCTCCATTATACACAAAGTTCTAGATCCCTGGAGATATGCATCCTTTAAAACAGGGCTCACCATAGCAACCTGCATGCACACAACTTTTTATTTTTAATTATGTTATGTTAATCACCATACATTACATCATTAGTTTGTGATGTAGTGTTCCATGATTCATTGTTTGCACGTAACACCCAGTGCTCCATTCAATACGTGCCCTCTTTAGTACCCATCACCAGGCTAACCCATTCCCCCACCCCCTCCCCTCTAGAACCCTCAGTTTGTTTCTCAGAGTCCATAGTCTCTCATGGTTCGTCTCCCCCTCTGACCTGACCCCCTTCGTTTTTCCCTTCCTACTATCTTCTCTTTTTTTCTAACTTATAACGTATTATTTGTTTCAGGGGTACAGTCTTACACAATTCACTGCACTCACCATAGCACTTACCCTCCCCAATGTCTATCACCCAGCCACCCCATCCCTCCCACCCCCCACCACTCCAGCAACCCTCGGTTTGCTTCCTAAAATTAAGAATTCCTCATATCAGTGAGATCATATGATACATGTCTTTCTCTGATTGACTTATTTCACTTAGCATAATACCCTCTAGTTCCATCCACGTCATTGCAAATGGCAAGATTTCGGGTTTTCTGATGGCTACATAATATTCCATTGTATGTATATATACCACATCTTCTTTATCCATTCATCTGTTGATGGACATCTTGGCTCTTTCCATAGTTTGGCTATTGTGGACATGGCTGCTATAAACATTGGGGTGCACGTACCCCTTTGGATCACTACATTTGTATCTTTGGGGTAAAACCCAGTAGTGCATGCACACAACTTAATCTGGTTCTGTGCCTTATTTCCCAACCACCACTGGCTCTGATTCCTGTCCTCAGGCTCACCCCTAGTGGCTGGGATTTGGTGTCTCCTGTTGTTCCTCTGGTTTTAGAACTCAACCCACTCTTGTCCCATGGCATGAGTCTTGATCCTTGTAAATCCTGACCAGAACTCCTCCCACTCTTGGGGCCTTGCTGCTTCTCTGCTGGATATGGCACTTTACAGGAATCCTGCCCTCTCAAGCAGCCACAGGCCACCTCCCTTTCCTCTCCTCTGCTACCTCCGCTCAATTTGTTGGTTTTCTAAGCCTGGATTTTTATGGATCTCTCTTTTTTTGAAGTTGAAATCACTTAGACTTATTTACAACGGTTCTTCTGGCCATTTGCTGAAAGGAATGAAAAAAAAAATCAAACAAGAGAGAAGGAAAATCACCAGGGTTAGCATAGCCTCTAGTCACCCCAGACCCACTGAATCAGCAACTGTGGGGGTGGGCCCAGAACTCTGTAGTTTGTAAGTACTCCAGGTGATTTTTGTGAATATTAAAGGTTAAGAACAACTGGTCTGGAAGAAAAAACGGCATCTGACAAATATTTTGGACAAAATGAGGCTTCTCATTAAGAAGAAAAATTAAGTCTACATTATTGACACAGAAGAACGTCCAAAATATTCTGTGTATTAAAACCATAGGTACAGTATAATTCTTGTAAAAAATCTTAGAGGTATATTTCCACAGGGAAAAATGTCTAGAAGGTTACACACCAAATTGTTAATAGTGGTTAGCTTGGGGGGAAATTCATTTGACTTTTCCTTTATGAATATCTGTATTTTTTAATCTATAAGCATATATTATTTTATAATTTTTAAAAAATGGTTAATCTAGTCATCTTCTACTCCTCTCTGACAAAACTCAGAGGTAAAAATTAACTCAGTCTCCCGCAGATTTCAGTGTCTGGACTAATGAAGCTTTGTGATGCTTTATGGAATTCTAGAGGAAGTGAGGCAGTGATAGTGCTCAGTGCTCCATGACTCAAATCAGTGCTTCTGTGAAAAGCTCCTGTGCCAGGAAATGACAGGTCATAAAGCCTGAGAGATTCTGCCCTTCTTAAATAGGCCAACTTAAAAAAGGGATGTTAAGAGTTCTGAGGGAATGCAGAACAGACTAAAAACTTCTCTTGGAAGACAACTATTTGTTGCAAAAACTATGTATATAGTGTCCCATTTTCCACCCACACCCCCCCGCCCCCGTTTGTGATCTGGCAGTCATTCTGCAATGACATTGGACCTTCTTCAAGCTGGCTCCAGGTATATACAGTATATGCATATGGCAGACCAGAACGGGGTCTGAAAATAAAGGAGATCGGTGGAAATAATTCAGGACAAGATAAAGAGAAGATAAAAGAGGTGAGTGTGTAAGCACATATCCAAGATCAAGTCGGGTCCTAAGAAATATCCTTTAGCTCATGATGCACCATGGGAAAATCCTGAGACTTCTACAAGCTGCTCTCATGGGACCACTCAATTTTTTTCACCTCTGGCAAGTTTCCTATTAGAGGCACTCTATGCATTCATAAAGGACCCCAAAGCACTTTACCTGTATTATCATCATGCACAGAAGCCACTCAGTGTAATCTGTATACATCCTCTTGCTCTTCACTGCCTACAAGCATGTGGGTGTGGCAGAAACAGAAAATACAGTTGTCTCCTTCAGGATAGCTGTTGCCCCAGAAACCAGAAAAACTCGGTAAAAAAAAAAAAAGCTTTCAGTAATCCTTAATAATTAATTAGTTCATCTTCACTAAAGGAAAACTACTTATACCAGGGGTCTTTCTACTTTGAGCTAAGAAAATTGATAAAGGTTACACCAATTTTTTTCTATCAAGATACTCTCTATCTCTGGAGTCCTAACTACACCAGAGGGCAAGAAATATTACCAATGTCCAATACTTTCAATGCTGTATGAAGAGAAAGTTATTTTGTAGATTGGAGACTGCAGCCACCTTCTGAAAAGGCTGTCACTGTCTGTGGCTCTGCCTCGATAGTGTTTCAGATTAGAAAATCGGGGCACAACAGGATTAGACGGTAGAAAAGAGATGAACCCCAGTGCTTGCTCTGCAATGTGACATAAAAGAAAGAGCACAGGTACTGGAGTCAATTTGAAGCCCAGCTCTAAATTATACTAGATTCAGGGCAAATGGCCCCACCTCTTTAAGCCTCAGTGTCCTTATCAATGAAATGGGAATAATATAAGCTACTCTACCAGGTTGTTACAAAAATCACAAGTATGCAAGAGCAGAGGGAGAAAAAGAAGTTAGTGTCTAATGGGCAGAGAGTTTCAGTTTGGAATGACTGAAGAAGTTCTGGAGATGGATGGTGATGGTGATGATGGTTGGACAACAATAGGAACACTGAATGCCACTGACTATACACTTAAAAATGGTTAAAGTGGTAAATTTCATTATGTATATTTTACCACAATTTTTTAAAAAGATATGTAAGGCTCCTAGCACAGTGTTCTGGCTCTCTCAGTGGGTACTCAAGAAATGCTAGTCTTTTCCCCATATAAAGAACTTTAAATTAAAAGAAAGAGGGTGGGGATACAAAAAGTCAAACAAAATTGTGCTCCTTTCCCTATTTGATTGTAGAAGGCTTTGACTCTCAGGCAGAGCCAGCTGGGACCAATATCCAGCAGTGCCACAGGAAGTCTCTGGGTAGGAGAAGGGAGGCTGTGTTAGTCAGATTCCCTCCGGCATGCTCAGATCCCAGTCCACCCCCACCCCGCTATGGAGTCTCCCAGAATATCAATCTTATAGCTCTCAACATATTGCAAAGAAAGCTGGGAAGCTGAAACCATTTCCCAGACCACACTCCAGGTCATGAGGACAAAAGCATTCACAGTGGCCGCTGGTTGCTATAAGTGGGACAGAGACAAGACACTAGCGCTGAACACCAACTGGGTGGGTCTGGAGCCTGTTCCAGTCCCCAGCATTAAGATGATCAGTACCTTGGATGCCTTTGACTGAGTTTAATGGACAGAGAGGACAGCAGTCTCAAAGGCCTGATAAAGGAAGATTAAAAATGCCCTTGTCTGCAGTTCAGGGAAAACAATTAATGATTATATGTTGCAAGTCATAAAAGAGAGAAGGGAAAAAACAGATGACTTATCTCTAGGCATATTAAAACACTGCTTCTGACAGGCAGGCCTAATTAGATCTCGATGCGATGTTCAGATAGATGATCATTAACATCCCTCGAACTCAGCTCAAGGAGAACGAAATACAATACCCAATCAATTCCAAAACAATACTTACTTTAGGATCTGAGCTCTTGAACTTCAACCTTTCCACCAACTCTATCATAGCCGCCTTCAGTCCGCCTGAGTCTTTGCTCTAAAAGAAAGAAAAGTGAGGGATCATTAGACAGCATCTCGTTGCTCTCTCAAACACAAACAGCATTGCATGGAACAATGAAATGGAAAGCAATTTTTTCTTCTTATTAGCCAAGAGAACTAAATGACTAAGGAAAGCTGCACTGCCCCTCTTCCTCTCTCTATTGGACAAAGAGGGTCAAGACATAAATTGCCCAGTGACCTGAGAGAACTATTGGAATGAAAATTAAATGCAATTTGTACAGGCTGACGCACTGCTTCATCTTAGGGTTCAACTGCGCCAGTGTTCACTGAAGGCTGAGGCTCTGAAAAGAGATTTTGATCTAGGATGTCCACTTTATGACCTAGTGATTTTTATCTTGAACTTCTACATACCAGATACAGAAGTATGCAGTATTAAATATTCTTATAGAAATAAAAACAAAGAAAATGCCCTAAGATTTCATCGGAAATGGTATTACAGTGTACTGGCTGAGTACAGGTTTTTGAGTCAGACATACAAGGTTTCAAATTTGGGGTCTGTCATTAACTAGTGGACTAAACTCAGGTAAATTACTGACTTTCTCAAAACCTCCTGCCCCTTCTATAAAATGTGGATAATAAACAGGGTTATTTTGAGGCTTAACTAGAACAGTGTCAAGGTATTGCCCAGTATGTGGCACACAGTAAGTGCTCAACAAATGTCTCCTATTATTACTACCACATTATAACGATTTTTTTAAAGATATTATTTGACAGAAAGAGAGGCAGACGCTTAATCGACTGAGCCACCAAGTGCCCCTGCATTATAACGAGTTAGAGTAGCACAGTCCAAGAGAAATGTAAGCCACAAATGCAAGCCACATATGTAATTTTAAGTTTTCCAGTAGCCACAAAAATAAAGTGAAATTAATTTCTAATAGATTTTACTTAACTCAGTATATCCAAAATATTATCACTGTAACATGTGATTTCAACATGAGATATTAGATACATTTTTTCATACTGTCTTTGAAATCAGCCCAATTCCATTTAGACAAACCACATTTCAAGTCCTCCAAAGCTATGTATAGCTAGTAACTACTGTACTGGTCAACAGAGATTTAGAGAATAGACTCTAGAGCCACACAGCCTGGATTCAAGGCCCAACTCTACCACTAGCTGTGTGAACTTAGGCAAGTCACTTAGCCTCTCTATGCTTCTATTTCTTTATCTGTAACATAACAGCTAATAACAGTACTTATTTCACAGCGTTATAGTAAGATTAAATGAACTAATATATGTCAAGGTGCTCAGAAAAGGGCCTGGAACATGGTAAATGCAATAGATTCATGCGACATTTTTATTATTGTCTGTCTGCCTCACAATATTTTAAACTTTTTTTTTTTTTTTTATCTACCTATTTGACAGAGAGAGACACAGCGAGAGAGGGAACACAAGCAGGGGGAGTGGGAGAGGGAGAAGCAGGCTTCCCGTGGGGCAGGGAGCCCGATGCAGGGCTCGATCCCAGGACCCTGGGATCATGACCTGAGCCGAAGGCAGACACTTAACGACTGAGCCACCCAGGCGCCCCGTGTTTTAAATTCCTTAAGGGTAAGAACTATGGCTTCTATCTCTGTATCTGTGCCCAGCATCAAGAATGATTTGAAAAAGTCTGCTGAACAAATGAATGAACGAACATGCAATCTTAAGACATGAATGACCTAACTACAATACATGTGTGTAGCATGCTCCAAAATCACATAAATTAGTTTATTTTATCTCAACTCCTGTGTAGCATCAGGTAGGATCATCACCTGCATCTCACCAGTGATGAAAGGAAGCATGAAGAAGTAAAATGACTGACATTTTTTATGGGGGAAGGGATAATCAAAAGGGAAAATATAAACAAACACTACAAATATCTGTTACTCAAAATCGGTCTCAGAATCAGTAATATTTTCCAAATTTGCACAACCAATTCCAATTCCTCTAAGGAAATTCTTACTAAGACCCCTTTATGTAGATTAAAATAGACTAGAGCCTCAGTCTTGTTCTACCTCTAACTCCCTTTCTCTCCCAAGTCTATCCAGCAAAAGCCTGGTGTAACATGATCAGATGGGGAGCTTTAGATATGCTCTCCAAACACAGTGTAGTTGACATTCCCATTCTAGTTGGTGTTCTAAATTTTAATAATTTGTAGTTTTAAAATGATGGTTTACAACTCTCCAAATTTCATCACCAATTTAAATCTTTAATCTCTGTGATCTCTCAGCAGACAGCTGGGAAAAAGAATCTGGAGGTCACATACCAGAGAGTGGGTGAGACCTGAAGTACCTAAAAAAGGGTTAAGTTGCCAGACACAATCCTGCTTTTATGAGACGATCAGACAATAAAGCCTGTCTGGTGATATCATTTCTGTAACCTGCTTCTCATTGGCTGAACAAGCAGGTCACTTGTCCCTGGAAAGCTCTCTTCCCCCACATCCCAGCTGCCAGCGCCCATTTTAAGTTCTTCAGCAAAAGCCCTGATATATTATGACTTCCCCCCTGGCTCTAGAGAACAGAAAGGAATGCACCAAAACTGTGCCTTAAAACATTCAGAAAAGACACAGAACGACGAAGGCATCCCTCAGAAGCAGACGGCACTTTTGCAGGCAGATGTGCCTTGTGTGGAGAGATAAGGGAACCCTTAGCCTTCTTTCATAAAAATACAGTGTGTCAGCAGAATCCTCCCTCCTTTCACCAAGCATCAGCAGCACTGCCTACCCAGGGGAGAGACAGAGGAAGATGCACTGATATTCTCCCTTCCAGGCCCCCACCCCCGTTTTTGAGAATTATTCTCAGAGATTAACTGGGGTTCTACATTGAGTCAGCAATACCCAGTTTCTAAATGGGTGGTGAAGAAAATATTCCTCAATGGCTTTCTTTTCTACCCATAAAATAAGCAGATGGTCAGAAAGGAGAGGCTCCACTGGGCAGACCTGCCTCCAACAGCTGCAGGGCTGGAGCAAAAGTATAAGTGGATGACGCTGGCCCCAGATTCACCAGCTTTCTTTCCCCACACACTTTCCGTACCTCAAAAAGCCTTGTATACAGATGTTTGCGCTACCCAGCAGTCACCCTTGGTCACACCTGGGACCTAGTAATGCACACGTCAGGGGTAGAGTCTAATGGCTTGATCCATCTTTGGGAGGACAGACTCACAAAGAGGCTCTGCAGGCCTCAAAAGCAGGTTCATGACATTTCGGCAGGTAATTCTTGGATCCTGGGTACTGGAAGAGTAGTCAAGAAGGGTATGGGCAGAGGCCCTCTAAAGGAAGGGCCCTCTAAAGCATGCAGCATAGGGTAGGGGTGCAGGGTTATCTAGGTCTAAGGTGGTCTCTGAGTTTGAGTGTCCCCAAGAGCAAAGGGTGGTTATCAAGTTTTAGTGAATTATCTGTTTGCAAAGGGTAGTCATCAGTCAAAAGGTAACCAGGATCAGAAATTATACCCTCATACTTCCCTATTGTGGTGGAATAGAACAATTGCCTCTGAAAACTGTGTTCTAATTGAGAGGTGGACCACGACAGTAACAAAGGGCAGGCTAATTCTAACCTCATAGACATTTGGTTCCATAAATGTCCTGATTCTACTGTGTTAGCCCTTGCGGCCAGCACTATGAGTGGTGAAGTCAGAGTCTCCTGATACCGTTATTCTCCACCTCCATCCCACCTAATACCTTCCAAGAACACAGGAGTTCAACGTGAACATACCTTGTTTACACACCTCTTTCCTGCCCTGAAAGAGTGTAGAATAAAAAGAAACAAGTGGTATGTTGTGACACCCACCTCTCAGAGTTTGATTAATCTGTGAGGATGCAGCATGCTTCAAAAAAGCCAACTCCTGGGGATGAGTCATAACAAAGCCTAAGAAAGGACAAATGCCTTACACTTGAAGTTATTCTTTATTCTCCAAAGCACTTTTATATGCTCTTTCACTGGCATTTCCCAATAAACCTAAAAACTAGTGTATTCACACTTTACAGCTGAGAAAATGGCTTGCAGAAATCAAATGAGGAACCTAAAAATCACAGGGCTCATACACTCTGTCATTGGCATTTCACAATTACACAGTTAACTAAGAGGTGGTGTATTCTCACTTTACAATGGTCAAAAATGGTTCTCTGGAAGTCAAGCAATGCCCCTCAAATCACAAAGCTAGTCAGTCAGCAGCAAAACAAGGATCAGAACAACCCAAATGAAAAAAGATTTACAATATATACAACAGAAGAGGTTGGTGTCAACAATACATAAGAAAATACAAAAAGGATCCTTATGAATAAGAAAAAGTCAAATAAGCCCAAAAGAAATCCAAACAAAGGATATGACATAATAGAAATGCAGAATGGCTAACATGCATACTAAAAGATGTAAAAGATGCACGAACTTACTAGCAATTAAGATATTTCTTATCCATCATACTGAAAAAAAAAGTTCTGATCTGATATCAAGTGATGAGGGGCTTTGGAGAAACTAGGGACTTCCATATGTTGCTGATACAAAATGATGAAGCTACTTTGAAATCACATACCTCGCCAGTCCATTTCTCTCTTTATCCCCTTAAGAAAACCTAGCTCATGTGTCAAGAAGGCACGCACAGAATATTTATGGAAGCACTGTTTGTAGTACTGAACAAACTGGAAACATTCTAAACATCCATCAATGGTGGGTGGCTAAATAAACTCTGGAATTAACAAAGTGTGGAATATAATATAGCAAATAAAAAGAATAAAGTAGATCTGTTATGTGCCTGGATACAAACAAGACGTAATGAATTTTTTTTAAACTTGCAAAAGGATACATACTATAAATAACATTTATAAAACAAATAAACAAAAAACTGTTACTCTCCATGGGTGCTATATATGTACGTAAAACACCTGAAAGAAATGATTGGAGTGACTGCTATTGCACACAGTAGTAGGAAGAGTCTTAGACTTAACTAAAGGTAGTCCTACTGTCTAAGATTTAGAATACATGAAGGTAGGAGTGAGCAAGGGAGG